TTTGAACACATGATTGGGCGGGTTTGGAGCTAATCGTTATATAGCCCGAAACGGCGCCGTGATTCGAGCTGATGTACATATCGGACCTGATGGTCGCCCTAAGGGTTCTGGCATTGTCGTCTTTGAGAGCCCAGATGATGCCCGCAACGCCATCCAGCAGTTCAATGGCTATGACTGGCAAGGTCGCGTTATTGAAGTCCGCGAGGACCGCTATGCCGGCAGCGGACCTGGCATGGGTTTCGGTGGCCGAGGTGGCTATGGCGGTGGTATGCGCGGAGGATTTGGAGGTGGGTTTGGAGGCCGTGGTGGTTTTGGCGGAGGGCGTGGAGGTTTCGGAGGCGGCTTTGGTCGTGGAGGCTTCGGTGGAGCTGCTCCTGGCGGCCCAGGTTTCGAGCCCCCTGCCAGCTCCGTCCCTCCCAACCCTTTCACTGACTTTGCTACCGCCGGCACTGAGAGGGGAGAAATCATCTACGTTCGCAACGTGAGACTATGTCATATTTCCTACCCATTTGTGCCTGTGCTAATCTTTTACAGTTACCTTGGTCGACCAGCAACGACGACCTGGTTGAGCTGTTCACTACCATCGGAAAGGTCGAGCAAGCTGAGATCCAGTACGAGCCTAGTGGTCGTTCTCGTGGTTCTGGCGTGGTTCGTTTCGATTCAGCCGAGACTGCGGAGACTGCCATTGCCAAGTTTCAAGGCTACCAGTATGGTGGCCGTCCTCTTAACCTGAGCTTCGTGAAGTATCTGAACCAGGGCGGAAACGACGCCATGGACACAGATCCCCACGGTGGATTAACCCAGGATCAGATCATGTAAGAGGAGGACGTCCATTTGCACTGAACTTGATGCAGCTATGTCACGGTCGACTATTGTCTTGGCGGCGGCGACCGTTTGCATCTACCCAACGCTTTTTATATCTGGTTGTTTTGTTATTTGGTACTTTTCGTTTTCCACATGAGCAGCAAAAGTTGGGGTTTATCAACGGTGGAATCTTAACTCACGGAAAGGGGGTCGAAGTCACTATCACCTTGGAGAATAAGTCGATGACTTAGTCTCTAATGAGCAGGGAGCGAGGGAGGATTTTATGATGGGCTTACCATACAGAACCGAATGACCCCACCGTTGACACCCAGATGACCGGTCAAACGCACGCGGTTATCAGCTATAGGGTTGCTCATTGTCAATGAAGGAAAAGATGGCTGTTGGCTTCCCAGGAAACAACAGGACTCTACTTAGAATGTATGTCGAGTAATCATCCGAAGGTTTTTAAGAACGATGGCAGGTGGTCTTGGTGAAGGGGAGCGTAGGACTGCAACGGATATGCGTAGCATCTTGGGGCATGAAAGTCCGCCGGCCGGGCAACGATATAAGTGAAGGTGAAGATGAAGGCAATGGTAAAGGTAAAGGTAAAACATAGTCACACAAAACTGCATGGTGAATGTAGGCGTTGGGGTGATTTGGTATAGTTAGCTCAAACGCACATGAGGACGATAATTACGGCCTGGGCTATGCTTTGGAAGCCCTGGCTCGGAGGTGTTGCGCTGCCGTAATGTTCGTTATCAGGGTCATATCGACTTGGAGTTGACATGTCCTCTTCCCAGCAGTAATACCTATGACCTAGAGAGGGATCGAGATCCAACGGCGAGGGTATGCATTTTCGGTTCCCAAGTCTACGGTCTCTTTGCCAATCTCGTTCTCTCAGTATGCAAGTCGACAATTGGAAAGTTTAGAATCAAGGGCAAAAGGTATTTGCTAGGCCCGGAACTTGGACAACAGTCAATATCTACCTAGGCAGGCCCCTGACGGTGAGTATTCGGAAGGTTGTTCAAGAATGAAGGTTGCCGAGACAAGCGGACTCGAAAAAATGAGAGGTCCGATAGTCTTCGGCCACCAGCATTGAAGCAAGATTTGATCAAAGGACATAAGCGTTTGTCTCACACGAGGGTGCGTGGACCTCTTGAGTTCGTTACCTAAGGTACCCTTGGTTTTCCAAGCCGGATCATGGACTTGCCGTAACCTAAGAGCTTCTTCGATCGACATGTGCCAAGCTCATAGTCTCTGCTCCTCAAAGCTCAAAGTGCTAGCCATTCTCCCGACTCTCCCTTGCCCAGTCCTACTAACTGCGCAATTACCCTTTGATCCAGATCGACATGTAGTCGACCAATAGCGGAAGTTGTTGTTTAAGCTTCGAAATAAGCTTGTCTTAGCGATCTTGCTGCGCCGGAAGCTGGCGCATCCGTGGTCTTACTCCTCATCGATGCCAAGACACCTTGGCAGCCTTACTTTTGACCCAGAGGAGAATAACGAGTACCGTAGGTACTCGGAGTAGGTTGAAGCTTCGCCAGATGCACTACCTAAGTTAGTAAGTACCAAGTCTGGGCTGACGGAGGTGGTCGTTTGCCATTTTTAACCAGTGCAGAGCTACACGGGAGCTGTGTCTACCACTGCATCTCGTATACGTAACCAGTTCAAGAAAGTATCTCCCATTGACCAGGTGGACCCGTTGTCGTGTGTTGTTTGGTAGATCAAGATCCTCTTGGCATCGCTTTGCCGTGTGGCTGTGTGACAGGTTAGCCCAACCCCAAGATGCTTGGTATGTCATCCCAACAAGTTCACTATGAGGTGTCGCTCAGGCACCTTGGAAAGAATACGGGCTTGGCTCATACGTTGTATGCTGTCGAATACCTCAGTGATATCTCCCTACGTCGTTTGATTACACTGGCGTATCTGGGCATCGACCTAGTCTACTTGGCGACTTGTTAGTTGGAATCCTTGGGTACCATCATGGATTAGAGACTTGCCCAGGGGGCCTCACGATACTACGAACATATTGTAATGAATGACGTTGTTACAATGCGCACAACCTAGGTGTTGTTGAGTTGTCATCGTATAGTGAAGTGTATATAAAACATCTACTCTCCTCGTTTGAAAGTCTTCATCAGTCTCATCAGTACTCACTTGCAGAGCAACTTTACACCCTAATCTCTAATATCATTCCTCTGTCCTACGTTTCCAGCCAAATCCACTGCAAACATGAAATTCTCTCTCCTTGCCGTTGCTCTCAGCACCTTCGCTGCTGCCTCGCCTACTCCTGACATGGAGCACGAGAAGCGCGTCCTTGGCCTCCTTAAGCCCAAGGGTGGTATCCCTTTCACTTTCACTTCTATCTGGGAAGTTCTTGCTACCCCTGATCAGGTTGTCGATGCAGACAACAAGTACACCGGCGGACTGAAGGGCAGCAAGGGCCTCTTCAAGTTTGGCATCAACTCGCACGAAGATGTCATCTGCTACAACATCACCTTGTATGGCTTCCGCGGTGACTACCAGTCTCCCGCCAACACTGCCACCCACATCCACGAGGCTGTCAAGGGCAAGTCGGGACCTCCACGGTAAGTTGATAGATAACGTGGACCTATACACAATTGGAGCTATGAAGCGCTGACTTGGTGTTAGCATTGCCTTCCCCAACCCCGTCGGCGACGAGAAGAGCCGCAACGCTGTCGGCTGTCTCCAGGGCCCATTCCGCACCGGTGTGATCCAGAACGGCCAAGACACTGGTGTCGGCTTCACTCTCAAGCAGATTGAGAAGAACCCCGAGAAATTCTTCGCCGACTCGCACTCCAGCCTTGCTGTTCCTGGCGCTTTCCGAGGACAGCTCAGCTCAGGCAAGGTGTGCTAAAAGGCTTAGCCCCTTTCCCACACTTTGCTTGGTATGTCTAACGCGCATACGCTTCTGACGGAATTGGATTGTAATGCAGCTCCGTGTAATATTTTACTCTTCCATTTGTAGCAATAATTCAAAGTCATGGTGGCTTGGAGACGTGTTTGGGCATTGCATAACATGATAATTCGTTAATCCATGATATAACCTTGACCTTTGGTGCTTGAGACCACAAAATTTAAACTGTAAAAAGAAAATCGTTTATGCTGCAGCCTTCTTCTTCTTTGCCTTGGCCTTCTTCTTGCTTCTGTCTCTAGGCTTCAAGGCTGTCATGCCAGCCTTGCAAACATCCGCATACCGCACGTAGAAAGCCTCCAGATCCTCGGGGTTGACGACTGTTGAAAGCTTAGCTTTCTTGGAGCGATCCTTCTTGCCCTTTCCATTCGTTGCCCTGATGATAAGGGGTAGAGGCTTGCCAGGGTGAATATCTGGAGAGGATTCCTCTTCTGAGAGACTGGGGATGTCTTGACCGTAGGTGACTAGGGTTTTTATTATTATTAGCGGGATGAGAGATGCGGTAGGCATCTGTACGTACGTCGCTTCTGGCTCAAGTAGATGGCGCCATGGTCGCTACCCTTGCGATGATTGAAGAGCTCACCCAACTTGGCGAAGAACTGTCATTATGTCAGAAACAAAGCTGCTAGACGATCGTCCGGGTCTCGCTTCGTATGAAGAAGGAAATGCAGACTCACCTCGTCATGGCTCATATGAGAGTCAGCCATAGTGATGGGTTATGAGACTGTCAAAAGTCGATGTATATTGAGAGATGAGTGTTACCCTACCAATTTTGAGGTTGACATGGTGCCCCGCCATCATGTCGGTCCAAGTGTGGCGTCCCAGGTTGTGGCTTACTTTCGGGCGGTGAGACCGGTACCTGAGCTTTAGTAGAGAGTTCACTGCTACCTACCTACCTAAGTAGGTACCTCTTACCGTAGTCTCTTGAGATTTGAAGGTTAGTATTTTCTGCCGGCAGAATATCTTTTCTTTTCTGCTCACCTTCGAACTAGTAAAGGAGGCTCAAAAGATCCAGTGTGTACAAATCTAATCTTAAAGGGGAACTCGCATAAATGATCTGATTCATATACAGTTCTCAGATCAATGTTGCGACAAGATTCCGAGAAGATATCGTCGGAATCGCAATACTCATCACTGACCGCCTGCCAAGTTAGGCACAACCACCATCAGAGATCCAGCATCGTTGCTTAAAATTCAGTCAACCTCAGGATTGTAACCCTGCTGCAACACGGCGTTTCCCTCCCACTACACTTCCGGCAAGATGACGTCCGCACCAGAGCTTCAACAGAAAATCTTCAAGCGGATGGGCTTGGATGTTCCAGAACCCAAACCACAGCGCAATGGACTCAGGAGATCGGGACAGCAGCTGTCAAGAAAAGAGCAACGAAAAGCGCAAAGGGTACAGAAGCGAACCCACGTCTACGCAAGAGCAACTCCACAGCGACCACAACATATCAATCATGCTCAGAGAAGACCAAACACAACGCAGACGAAGGAGCAGGCGAAGAAATCCCAGTCACGACCTTCAAAGCAGATTCGTAATGATGAAGATGATCTCGACCACGAGGATGAGGACGATGCTGGAGACATTTCATTGGACGAAGACGATGATTTGTACGACCTGATGGACGATGAAGAAGACGACAACGACGAGGATGAGGATGAGGATGAGGATGAGGAAGAAGACGAGGAAGAGGATGAGAAAAAGAAAAAGAACACAAAAGCAAAAAGTGGCAAGAAGGGTGTTTCGAAGGCCGTGCAGGAGAGACTTGCCCAGGACGACGCCGAGATTGAGGCCTTTGAGCGAAAACTAGGCCTCAAAAAGGGACGAAAATCACTACCTCAGTCTTTCAAGGAGGATGGCCTTGGCGATCTTCTAGGGGACCTTAGCGGCGAAGAAGACGTCAGCGATAACGGCAATGACAATAAAAAGAGGAAAAGTGAATATGACGATTGGCTGGCATCCAAGCGAAGAAAGGCAGTAGAACCTGCAGGCCGACAAAAGGTCCGCGACATGTCTGAAGATGAGGAAGGGGATGGTGATATGGGCTGGGACGACGAATCTGGAGGTGAAGACGAAGACATGGACCTCATGGATGAAGACGATGAAAATGGAGGTGACTTTGATGACGAGTCATTCGGCGGTTTCGACGACGACGACAACGATGTTGCAGACAACACACCAGCTCAACCGCGACAGAGAGAGAACCCCTATGTCGCGCCCACCACCGGAGTTGCGGTTGCGAAATACGTCCCTCCTTCATTACGCAGAGCCGCAAATTCAGAAGAGGAGCGCAAAAGTCGACTTAGGAAACAAGTTCAAGGTTTGATCAATCGTCTTACAGATGCCAACATCTTGTCCATTGTCAAGTCTGTGGAGGAGCTTTACCAAAACAATGCACGTGGTGATGTGACAGATGTTATCACGGATGCGATCATGGCTCAAATTTGCAAGCCGGAGAGCCTCCCTGATCAATTCTTTGTCCTCACCGGTGGATTTGCCGCTGCTATTTACCGGCTTATTGGGTCGAGCTTTGGTTCAGTATTGATCCGCCGCATCGTGGAAGATTTTGGCGGTCACTATGAGCAAGCGAGCGAGGAACAAAACGCCGAATCCGCTATTCAAAAGGAAGCTTCGAATATCCTGACACTGCTTTCACAACTTTACGTGTTTGAGGTTGTCACTTGCAAGATCATCTTTGATTACATGGAGAGACTTCTCAGCGACCTCAATGAGATCAACGTGGAACTTCTTCTGCGAATATGCCGCATGGCTGGCCGAATGTTGAAGCAGGATGACCAGCAAACGCTGAAGCACGTCTCTGGGGTCCTTAACCAGTCCGTCTCAAATGTGGGCTACAGTAATATCTCAGTTCGCACAAAGTTCATGGTTGAAACCATCACCGACCTCACCAAGGGCAAAAAGAAGGCCCGAGGCTTGGACTTTACTGTTGTCTCAGAACATGTACAACGCATGAAGAAGCGTCTCGGTGAGCTCAAGTCTCAGTCGCGACGGCTCGATGGCCTTGCTCCTATGGGCGTAGGCCTGGTCGACATTGAGGGAGCTGAGACACGAGGTAAATGGTGGTTGGTTGGTGCCAGTGTACCAACAACTCTCCTAGATAAAAGCAAAAAGGGGCATGTATCTGATGCTGAAATGAGCGATCATGAGGACATGGATATCGTTTTGCCTGATTACCCAAAGAAGGCTCGCGCTCAAGGTTTGAGTGGAACGGCCCAGATTGCAATTTTCACAGCATTGATGACGGCATCCAATTTCGAGCACGCCTACAGACAATTTGTCAACCTGCGGCTCAAGAAGGATGACCAATTGGCCCTCGCCACTGTCTTAGTGCAATGTGTAGGCAGCGAAATGCAATACAACCCCTACTACGCTCTTGTGGGAGGAAAGGCCTGTTTGAGTAACAGCCGAATCAGGTTTGCGATCCAAGATCGATTATGGAAGATCTTTAGGAGTCTAGGAGAATCCATGTTCGGCGAAGCCCCTGAGGAGGACGAGTCGGCTGATGCTGAGCGCATGAAAGATGAGAGACGAATCACCAATGTGGCCAAGTTCTATGCGGCACTTGTTGCGGATGGAACACTAAATATTGCCATCTTGAAGCCTCTAGAACTTCCTGAGGCGAACCACTGGACATCAATGTTTATCCAGCTACTCATCCTTGCTCTTCTGAAGGAATGTCGTGGCAAGAAGAAGGGCACAGAGGGAGATATGCTGGAGAAGATCTTTGGTGCTGCCCGAGACTTGCCAGGCTTAGCTGCCGGTATACATTGGATGCTACGGAAGAAGGTCCGGAAGACAAAATTGGTCAGCGCAAAGGAGTTGAAAAAGCTGGAGCGCGTTTGCGAGAAGGCGCAGATCATTGTGCGTCCAGCGGCGATAGAAGTGTAGGATATGGATAAGAGTCATAGATATCCAGGGAGGCGAGAATATTACAAAGTTCCGTGGCCTGGGTCAGTCCAGAGTTCAGACTCATGATGTTTATTTATTAGCAATCATCCATCTCGGCGAACCGGCGATGTACTCCGTGTATGAGCGGCTTTATCTAGCAGTGACGTCGGCATCCCGAGGGGCAATTGACGTCCGGCGACCGGGTAGGGACGGGACACGCCGGGTATTCGGAGGTGTAAGAGATGGGATAAGTTGTGGTTGGGGGCGACATCAGTCTTTGGGGAGAACCGTTTCGCCGTGCGTTGGGACGAAATGCCCGAATTACCAGACAAGACTTAGCGTGAACCACCACTGAAACCGGGAATGGATCCCAAAAGTTGGAGACATAATGCAATACCATTCGACGCCGGGACCGGAGATATATGTCCAGGGGCGGCGGTTTTCTCCAACAAGACCTAGCAAAAGCTTTACAGGGCACGCGGAGAGGAGGTGAGGGTGCTATAGGTGGCTCCCTCACCGAAGAAATGACCAATCATGTCAACGTGTCGGCTGACGTCCAGGAAAAAATTACTATACCTGATAAACGGCAGGCTTCTCTTTGCCGAAGCTCCCTGTAATGCATTACAGTGCTTTTTAGGTACCTTACTGGACTTGACCTGCCCTGTGCTTTTTAGACGGCGGGCGAGCTTTGTTGCGGCAACGCCTCAACCTCAACCTCGTTGACTTTTTCTACCTCATCCTCCCCCTTCCTCTCCACAATCCGCCTGTCCTCCATTGTCTTTCCCACACAACCCACATCATGCTTTCCAGTCGCTTAATATCACGAGCTGTTGCTCGCCCGGCTTTCCAGAAGTCTACGTACGTCAATATCACAATGCGCTTTGCGACGAATGGGTCCAGGAGAAGCTTGTTCAAGCCCGCTTCTGTTGGGACCAATCCGTTATCGAAGGAAAAATGGCTCGTCAACTAACAGTGTTTCTTCCCGCTCGATAGGCTCCCCAGCGTTGTCGCTTCCTCTTCGTTGTCGCGATTCAGCCGTGGATATGCCTCTTCAGCTGGTATGTTACCTCCGAGCTCGTCGGAACACCAGCCCGAACAACCCGCTGACCAGAATTTCTTACAGAGGAGAAGGATCTCGTTGTTATCGGTGGCGGCGTTGCTGGCTACGTCGCTGCTATCAAGGCTGGACAAGAGGGCATGAAGGTTGGTTTTATACGGATACGAATGCCATCAAGCGAACAGAATTGGCTGACCAGATCTTTTCATCTCATATAGGTTACCTGCATTGAGAAGCGTGGCTCCCTCGGCGGTACCTGCTTGAACGTCGGCTGCATCCCCTCAAAATCTCTCCTCAACAACTCGCACCTCTACCACCAGATTCTCCACGACACCAAGGCCCGTGGTATCGAGGTCGGCGAGGTCAAGCTTAATCTGGCCAACTTTATGAAGGCCAAGGAGACTTCCGTGAGCGGTCTCACCAAGGGTATCGAGTACCTCTTCAAGAAGAACGGCGTCGAGTACATCAAGGGTGCTGGTTCTTTCGTCAACGAGCATGAGATCAAGGTCGATCTCAACGAGGGCGGTGAGACCAGCGTTCGCGGCAAGAATATCCTTATTGCTACTGGTTCCGAGGCCACTCCTTTCCCCGGTCTTGAGATTGACGAGAAGCGCGTTATCACAAGCACTGGTGCTATCGCTCTTGAGCAGGTCCCTGAGACTATGACCGTCATTGGTGGTGGTATCATTGGCCTCGAGATGGCCTCCGTCTGGTCGCGACTTGGCTCCAAGGTCACTATTGTCGAGTTCCTGGGCCAGATTGGTGGCCCCGGTATGGACACTGAGATCGCCAAGAACACACAGAAGATCCTCAAGAAGCAGGGTCTCGAGTTCAAGCTCAACACCAAGGTTGTCAGTGGTGACAAGTCTGGCGACAAGGTCAAGCTTGAGGTTGACTCCGCCAAGGGTGGCAAGCCCGAATCTGTATGTGTATCAAGCCCAATTGTTTTACCTACAGTTCTAACAAGTATATCTAGATCGAGTCCGACGTCGTCCTTGTTGCCATTGGTCGACGACCTTACACCGGCGGCCTCGGCCTCGAGAACATTGGCCTCGAGGCTGACGACCGCGGCCGTGTCATCATTGACTCCGAGTACCGAACCAAGATCCCCCACATCCGATGTGTTGGTGATGTCACCTTCGGCCCTATGCTTGCCCACAAGGCTGAGGAGGAGGCCGTTGCCGTCGTCGAGTACATTAAGAAGGGTTACGGCCATGTCAACTATGGTGCCATTCCCTCCGTTATGTATACTCACCCTGAGGTCGCCTGGGTCGGCCAGAGCGAGCAGGACCTGAAGAACCAGAATATCCCTTACCGAGTCGGAACCTTCCCCTTCGTTGCCAACTCCCGAGCCAAGACCAACCAGGACACTGAGGGTATGGTCAAGATGCTCGCTGATCCCGAGACTGACCGCATTCTCGGTGTTCACATCATCGGCCCCAACGCTGGTGAGATGATCGCTGAGGGTACTCTGGCTCTCGAATATGGTGCTTCCAGTGAGGATATCGCCCGAACCTGCCACGCTCACCCCACACTTGCCGAGGCCTTCAAGGAGGCTGCCATGGCCACTCACGCGAAGGCCATTCACTTCTGAGCAATGCTTGAGAGAACATAATGAAAAAGATGACGCAGGGTCAAGAGGAGGCCTCGCCAGGATAGCGCGAACGGGATAGAGCCTGGGGTATTTGGACTCTGGGTTGTGTAAATTAGTAATAATTCTGTCTGTTTAAGCATGATGTATGGAAATCACACGGCAGGATGCGTTGCTTGATTATTTGCACTGCGTGGAAGCAGAATACAAATTCTATGATGAATAACTCATAGTCTATCTTTCGAATTGACTGGCCAATAAACCCTGGACAGATGGTTGGCTAGCGCTCCATTCAGATATTCAGATATTCAGATATCATTCTCATTTTCTCGAACCTGTTAGTTACTCGACGGAGTCGAATACGAATTCGAGAATACATATCGAATACTTTCAACTCACACAGGTCTTTCGAGAGACACTAGCCCCGAACCCGCTCATAGCGGTGGATACCTCCTAGATCTACAAGGTTGTTCAAGTCGAAAGGTTCTTGTGAGGGATTACACCAGATCAGCTCATTCTCAACCAGAAGCCAGCTATTGATCTGGCTAGCGTTAGGAATTTGAATATAGGTAGTTGATATTCCTCAAACCCGTTATTGTTATCGTCCTTTTCCGAGTTGTAGCTGGCAGTGAAAGCCTCAATTGACTTAAGCTGTTGTAAGTGATGGAGAATGCAAAGCATCTGAGCTCACCAATCGGCGAATACGGGGTCTCAGGAACCCGAAGAGCTTCACAATAAATAGCGGAAATACGGATGTCAGTTGTTGTCACTGATCAAAAGCAACGTGGTATTGGTGATCCATGGTGCTTTGCTCTGCATATCTCCACCTGGTTGGAGATCCTGTGTCTGGATTGAGTCGCCGCTGCCTGTAACTAATTTTGGTGCCTTTATTCAGGAGCAGACGAGACACTTGCGTATGCGGCGAGCCTTTTTGTGACGGTGATTACTGAAATCAGGGGCCTAGGAATGTACGAGATGGAAGCCTGTAAGTCAACGTTGACAAGGGACCTTGTGCCCTGGAGGCCGCTTTCCAACTGGTGGCGGGGTGAATCATTGCCTGTCTACCTGCCCCTCCGCTGTAACGGAGAGATTGAATCGAGCCACTTTGATAGAAAGTGAGGTGTGCTACCAGCTGCGCCGCTCCACCACTGCCGGTGCTAGGAAATGGCACGCACTTCGCTGAAGGAACTGATAAGATGCGGTGAATTGAGCTGCACATGATTCGACAGCAAGCTTAAACCGGCCCCTTTTTAGCTTACACATTTAAATCTTGGATACTCCCCCATTCATCCCTCGCTTGGAGACATCCAGCCCTGGACAATTCTGTTGTTTGGTGCAGCAGAGTCCTCCACATTCTTTCTGGCAGTTTTGTTGTCTGTTCTGCCTCAGCTCCAAACTGTCCTTCATCATGGCCCATAGCGCTATCGTTACAGGCCTGCCGCCTCTGGCAGGTAATGCGCCCGAGAAGACACCAAAGCTTATGACCAGGGACCGGATTGAAGCTTTGATTGCTGAAGGCAAGCATGTCGCTATATTCCATAACCAAGTCATCAAGATGGATGCTTGGATGCCCTATCACCCCGGAGGTGACAAGGCTATGCTTCATATGGTGGGCAAGGATGCTTCTGATGAAATCGATGCGTAGGCTACAAACAAACCCAGCCCCTACAAGGCCAATTCTAATCTGATGAATAGTCTACACTGTTTCGAGACACGCCAGAAAGTCCTGCGCTATCGCATTGGTCGAATTGAAGGAACTTGGGAGAACTTCCTGCCGCCTATCCAGGGAGGCGTTTACCGTACACACGAAGAAATCGAACGAGCTAACGCCGAAGGGGAATCCCACAAAGACCAGGACTCGAGCGCTCCGTCAACTCGTGTCCCATCACCAGTCTTCGACGAGGAAGAGACCGCCGGAGCTAGACAGCGAAAGACCAACAAGAAGGACAAAGCTCGAGCGCCCTCGATATCATCTGCTTCTAGCGTAGAAGAGCCAGATCTAGATGGCATGTCGTATCTTGATACCATTACTCGCCAACATATCAGCCTCGATCTCGACAAGTACCCTCCTCCCGACAAGGAAACACAAGCCAAGATCGTTGCCAAATATCGCGAGCTCCACCAGAAGGTCTACGACACAGGGCTTTACAACTGTAACTACAAGGCCTATGGAATCGAGTTCATTCGATACACTGCATTGGCGGTTGGGTCAGCTTTCTGCCTTCGTCATGAATGGTACGCTCTAAGCGCCTTTCTTCTGGGCGCTCTCTGGCATCAACTCTCATTTACGGTCCATGATGCTGGGCACATGGGTATTACCCATAGCTACCTCATTGATTCATGCATCGGAGC